CAATCGACTAATATTCGAACATCAGCTTTGGACTTGAATTATAATTCAAGTCCAGGGGGGTAATGGGCACATGTATAGAGAGTATAAAAGCATTATGAATGTGATAATGCCTCACAAAAAAATGAATGATGTTTTGACATTTGTATTGAACGGTATTTCATTATTTAATAGAATAGAGAAGCATGGAAATGTTAATGGCAATGGTGTAATTTTATTTGATTTAAAATCTTTATGATAGAGACTAGCAGAGGACTGGCAAGGAGAACCTCAGGTTTACTCTTTTGGGATTTTTGATAAAACTTCGCATATGAAGAGAGTTGATATTAAAACGAAAAATCGCAAAATATTATAGGTCTATGAAAGTAGTTTAATTTTAAAATTTAATTAAAATTTTGAAAAATAGACCGCGCGTAATACGTACGCTCAAAGTGCTCCATAAAACGAACTCATTAGATTTTTAAATAAAACTGTATATCACTAGTAGATATAAAACATTGAATAGCAATAGTAAATACAAATATATAAATCGAATAGAAACAATTTTTAAGCACCTAGAGAAATTATAATAAAAATATAAAAATTGAACAAAAACACAGACACTGTCAAAAAAATCTAGATTTTTTTTATTTAATTAAATAACCATATACTGTAAATCGAGGTGAAATTATAAAAATAAATGATCTCATAACAATAAAAATAAATACCCAAAGCATGAAAAACAAAAAATATAAAAACGAGAGAAAATAAAAGTGAAAACATAAGGATAAATATTAAATCTGATTTCAAACGTTTATTAGATTTTGATAACTGTTTGAAAATTATAAGGTATTATTTAATACTAAATGAATTTAAAAAAATAAAACAAGATTCTGCAAATATTCTCACCAATATGTACAATATTTTTATACAGTATGGTTCGATGAGCAGTATGTATTAAAATTCATTTATATATTACTTTATTGTTACTTTTTTATTCAATGTTTTATAATTATTTGATTTTAGCTTAATCAATACACATCTAGAGGCCAGTTTTCGGGTAAAAAATGGTGTGTTATGGTAATACTATATATCGGGTCTATATCCGTATCAGCTATGAGTAATGAACTGTCAAAAAGCTATGTATTTGAGATGCAATCAGGCTTTTTACACTATCTAACTTCACGTATGTGTTATCAAAGAGATATCTGAAAGTTGCACTTACGCAAAAATTATTATTTGACGTTTGTATGTTTTGTAAATTAAGTTTTATGTATAAAACTGATCGCACAGCAAAAACATAGCTTTTTGGCCCGTACCATAGCATTACCATAATATACCTATTATTACATTATATCCGAGAATTGGCCCCTTGTGCCAAAAGTAGTAAAAATAATTTTTAAATAACTACGAATTGACAAATTATGATAGTCATATACAATTATTTGAATGAATTATCTATGAAAAATTAAGATTTTTTATTAATTTTTATCATTGTAAACCATATTTCAGTCCAAATTTGACCATAAAAATGTATCTTGTTTACCCTGAGGAAAATATAAATTAATTTTATAATTGCTAATTATAAAACAGAAATGAATGGCATGTGAATCTAAAAATAACACCCCCAAGACCGGCAATTTGTT